TGGGCAAGTTATTCTCCCACAGTAACAATGTGTGTGCTCACTAGGGACTCACTCACCTCAGGGAGGATGGTCACTAAATTAAGATCAACTCATCATATACCTACACTGAAGTCAGGCTGAAGCAATTAAGGCTCTGGGAACAAAGGGGAGAGACAGCAAAGCAGCCAGCAAAGCAGCAATAAAGATGCTTTCTTTTTACAGCCCTGAGACTCAAAACTCACAGCCACTACATTCTCAATAACCCCTAATTCAAAGTTTAAAAAAACTAATTAAACTATTGAGATGAAAAAACCTAGAGCAGCAAGACCACTGCCCAAGCACTTGTGAGAGCTCAGTTCCACAAGGTCTCTGCCCCAGCAGAACTGGGTGCCAGCCACACTGTTCAGAACAAAGAGAACTCTGAGAGATGCTATTTGGACACTGTTCTGTGTTCACTTATCATCCACAAAAAACTTCACCAAACTTCAGGTATTTCCTAATATTCATCCACCAGAACAAGAGGTTTTCATGGTATAATCTCAATTATTCCACTGTGAATAGCAGGATGAGAGTTCACTTCTTTCTCCTACTAAAGCCTCAGCTTCCTCAGATACTCCATACACATCCCTAACTCAGGAGCTACAGGGTTTATGGGGCTAGTACTTGCTGAATGCTCTCAGCTGTCTAATGCTTTGGAGAGCTGTGCAATTCACTCCTATTTTAGCAACTCTATTGTACTTCACCTTTGATAATTATAATGATTTTTTTGTAGGTATTATTAGACATAAGTGACTAATTTATCTTTGAAAAAAAACCTGCATTTCTATGCTAGTGAGAGTCAAACAGCTGAAATCTTAAATGGAAATTTACAGCCTTAGATAATGTTATCCAACTCAAAAAGGTCCTCTGTGAACTTTGTCAGGGATGCAATTTTACAAACAGAAAATATGGGTATTGAAACAATTTGTGCTCACATACAGATGGAAGTTATTATGAACTCTTAGAATTAACACACATTGTTTCAACTTTGGAATGTAACAGCAAAGCAAGTTTCTCCAAAAAAAACTCTACCAAGCCAGCACTAGGCTGCTTCTAATTCCAGCTGAATTCTCCTGAGTGCAAGATGTGGTTTCCAGTGTTATTATCCTGCTGTTTTACAAAACAGTACCCCTTTATCTCTAGAAGAGTTTTTATGTCAGTAATTTTATATCAATCCCATCTCACTTCTGCCACACTCTCATTTCTCCTTGCTGCCAGAATTCTAGGTAATTGTAAAAGGAAAAAAAAAAATCTGTGAAATCAGGCGAGCTTATACAAATAATTTCAAAATATTTCTTTAAGTTGATTGAATTTTTCTGGGCTCTTGTTTGTCACAGTGTTCAAAACTTGCATGAATGATTCAAGTGAGGTGACAGAGACCCAGGCTCCTGTTTCCATGCTCCAGTGAAGTCACCAACCACTATTCTTCCCAGAGCACAGAGGGAATTAAGCAACTGATTTACATTTATTCCTGACAAAGAGGACTGGTTTTCTGAATCAAGGTAAACACCTTTTGGGTGATGGTCTGGAGATAAGAGAGAGGCAGCTGCTCATTTTCTGCCCAAAGTTAATTTTTCACACATTCACAAGAACTAAGCATATCTGAACACTTCTCTGAAAGCAGCCATAAGGTCTGCTAAAAGCTATGTAAATTCAACAATTTCAGCATCCCAAGAAACATACAAGAACTCAGACAATCTTGGGTTTTTAGGTCAGGTCAGCCCCAGAGCACAGAGGTTTTACGATGCATTGCTGCACATTACCTACCTGCTCTGCTTTCACAGTGGAATTTCCCCTTGGCAGAACTACATAAAGCAGCAATATTTGACCAAGGACATGAAAACAAAGGTGACTACAACAGTTTATGTGGACATTATAACACTTTCATGATTAAGTAAGTAGTAGAAGCACCCCCAGAAACTCCAATTTACTTTTATTATGTTTTTATATCCAACAGCATACAATCTCAAACATTTACATGGGAATCACTAGTGTTCTACCAACCACTTCGAAGTTTGGCCACTGACTGGCTTGCACCAGCACCAATGACCTCAAGCAGAGCTGCAAACTCTTTTTATACCAATACATACTTAAAGCCTTCATTTACTTTTATGAGTTTAAACATATGCCAGTGATTTCAGAAACCAACTGCAAGGAACTGGAAGGCAACATGGGTGAGTGACCGTGTGTTAACCACCCAGAGTCCTTCAGAAACAGGACAAGAAAATCAGAATGAGAAGTAGGTATAAGAGTGGTAACATCTTAAAGGTGACAAGTCAAGGAGATAAACAGGAAAACAAGTGAAGTGGTGAAAGTTTCTATAAAAAAATACTACAGGCACAAGTGTCAAGTAACCCAAACTACACAAACAGGAAAGACAACCACCCTGGCCTCAATGAAGAATTCATCATTGCAATGAAAAAAATGACACAGCCTCTTGCTTGCATCACATAACTGAATGGCAAACTCCAAAATAAGGCAAAGACAAAGAAGGACTGAAAGGCAAAGGAAGCAGCATCACACTCACAAGTTACAGAATGAACTAGCAAGCAGAGATTAAGGAAAGCATTGTTTTGATAGTAATGAAGAGCAAAGCATTTGAGGGAAAGACTAATCCCTTTTTCTCACTAATTTTCCTTTTGGAGGTCAAGTGTGAACAGCTGGCTGCCATTACCAATACCACCAATAAGGAGGTGTAGTCCAAGATACATTAACAGCCTAGCTAAGCCAATTTCCAAGATTAGTAGGACTCCATTAACTTTGTCCTAAGATATTTTAGCCTTCACGTAATTTTAGAGGTTATTGCCCAAAATACACTAAGTATGGGCAAGTCTGGAAAATGGTAAATGCAATCCAAGCTTAAAAAACAAACAACACAGAAAGACTCAGAAGCTTTACTTCAATTTGGGATAAGGAATGGGAAAAAATGATGGAAGAGAAAACTGGAAAAACAAACAAGAATAGCAGAAACTAAGCATTAAAAGGTCAGATTTTTCAAGAATAAAACTGTAAGACTAATGTAATTTCAAACAGGTTAGAAACAGAAATGTCATATTTCTCTTGGAATTTAAATCTCTTGGCATTTTCTGCTATAATATGCTCACAAGTATGCTGGGGAAATGGTATATTGATGAAGTACAAGTGAATACAGAGAAAGTACACTTTGGGTGTAATAAAGAATGGCTCATGACTACAACTGAAGTGCTGGCAAAATGGGACTCCACCTGGAATAACAGAACCCCAGTTCTATCCAATATTTTAATTAGGTAATCTGGATAGGGCATAGGCTCAGATGGAGCCAGCATAAAGCTGAGACTGAGTTCTCAGCTTTTTTTTTTTTTTTTTTTTGCCACCAAAGCGTAAACATGATTAAGAACAAGAAAGTTCTTTAAGAATACATTCAAGGTACAGCATATAAAATGTGAATTAAACAAATCACCTGCTGTGACAGCTGCAGCTGGTCTGAAGCTGCACAAATAAATTTGGCCATAATGACCCCAACTTGACCAGCCTGGTACATTAAAGAGTAGAGGTAAACAAGTCCCTGGGTAAGACAGTGATAAGTAGGGTTTGAACTCCAGCAGGGGAGCCCAGCCAGTCCCATTCAATCCTGAATGCAGGCACCAGCTGGCCAGTGAGCTGGGTGGGGTTGAGACCCCAGCCACTCAGGTGTTCAAGCATGGGAAATTTGAGCCCCCTATAAAAGGAGGTGTCCATCAATAAACATTGGGTGTTGTCACTTGAACTCGGTGTGTTCGGTGTGTTCACTCCTGTGCCTGTCTCCAGAACTGCAACAAACGTAACAACCTGCACAAATTCAGAATGGAGTGTTGTGTTGCTGTGCAGGAGATACCTGGGGCTGGTGGTTGCACAGAATCATAAGATTTACTCTGCTAGGCTTTTAAGAGTACAAATCTATTGAGAACCCAATGAACTGGAAATAAAAGGACAAGACTTGGGAAGCATTTCTCCCATCCTACTCAATGTTTTGAAAGCAACAGTTGCTCACTGTATCCAGCTTTGGGCATTGCATTTCAAGAAAAATGTGGATTCAGATGGGAGAATCTGAGACAAGAGAAGTGTTGAAAACTGGTTTTTCAATGCATAAAAGTTTGCAAAATGGAAGAGACTTAAATGGATCAGATTATTATAATATATAAACAAAGGCAAGCCAGGTTTGGAATCAATGTCAGAAATTAGCTGTCTTTAGTGGCCAAGACAGTCAAGCACTGGAACTAAGCAGCACTTATATCACAGGTTTTTCTTCACAGAACATCACCAGGGACAGCATAAAAGCAGCTGACTCTGTCCTAGGACTACATACCAATTGAAACAGCCAGGCCTCTTTAAGACCAGCTTTCTGAACATTCTCTGAATTCCATACCAAATGTGTTAGCTGCAGGTATTGCTGCCATCTCAAATACAAGTATGCCAAGTCTCTTCCATTTTTCAGAGTAATAGATGTTGGGGTTTTTTTTTAATACATTAAAAACAAGGAAGTAAGGTTGATTAGAGAACTTTTTCAATAAAAGTCACACATTTGCAATACTTCATATTTTACATGTATTGTTTTCTAATAAGGGTAGAATACTAGTTGAAGTAATAATACGGCAAAATTAAAGACACATGAGCAAGAATTACATGAATAGATCTTCAAGTACAACAATAAAAAAATCTGAGAATATTTACAGTTTTCAAAACAGTGTGAAGTCGATAGACTCATAGAATGTACCATTTGAAAAGGAAAAGATTGATTATTATCTGGCAAGTCCATCTCTAAGCACCACAGAAGAAAATCTCAAACACAAAGCTGAAGATAAGTGAAAATTATGTTTTCAAGGATATTTTTCTTATATCAGGTTCACAGGTTTTTACCACTGAGAGGAGTATCACAGGACAGCACATGCACATTCACGTCACATTGATAACCAAGCAGAGAATCCATATAAATAATAATAAAAAGCAATCTCAACTGTACCAACCTGTGCTATATTTTTGTTGAGAAGATAAACTCCATATTCAAATTGAAGCTTCTCCCCTCCTTTTGCATATAAAGGAAATCTGATGGGAAAAAAAAAAGGGGGGGGGGAAGTATTTAAGGTGAAATTATTCAGTATTCAGACGGTTATGTAAACTTCAAAAAGCCCCAGATTCCTTTTCTGAGAAGGTAAAAATTAAAAAAGCTTCCTTTACTGACTTCTCCCAGGAACCCCTGCAACTCCAGTCAATCAGCATTTAACAACTGATGCCAAAACTCAGCTATGGAATTCCAGTTTTAAAGTATTTGAGGTTTTTAAAAGACATTTTATGATTCTCCCAGGGCTGCAACATCCCTCTCACCAACCAAAGTGTAATTTCAGAAGCACACAGCACAATTCCAGATCCCACATTATCCCTCTGCATTCACTCAGTCACACTTGGTTAGCTCATTTCCAAACAGAAAGAATATTTTATAAAGTTGTTCTCTTTTGATCATTATCCTGTGATTGACAGAGCACAAAGCCCTTTACACAGAGAAGAAATTTGCAGGCTCACTTACCTGAACAACATACAGAACAGAAGTGATTCCTTTCAACAAACTTCACACATGCACCAAAGGCTTGAGTCACAGCATCATAGGTCACTATAGCCCTTGCAAACATTTTATTACTGATCTTTATTTTTCCTATGTAATAAATATTGCTCACCATTTTAAATGCAAATTTGCTATTACATTTATATACCCAAATGTATCAAACAGTTTGTAAGAACATAGCATGGCACTGCTGCATGAGACAGGAGAACTAAAACATTAGTCCCTTAAATATTGAAACTCTTTGACAGTTTCTGCATTAAAGAATATCGTTTTATATGTCAGCTTAAAGAATCTCTGCTTAAGTGAAGCAGTTCTTAAACAGCTTTAGCAGCTGTACACTGCACTTCTAAGGATTGTCTTTTGACTCCTCCTCAGCACCAGAGGTTATGAGGTCATCATGGTCAATTCAGAAATCTTAGCACAAACTAAAATGTATTTTTATGGGAACTACAGCATGAATCAAGTTTTTGCCTTTTCATGAACCATGTCCTGCAGCTCCTAGTTAAGATGCTGAATGAAGTATCCACATAAGCCCCACCCTACAGCAGAAACCAAGGTTCTCAAATATAAGATAACAAATAGAGGAGATCAATATCTACTAGAAACAACACACATTCTGGAGAGGTGATTAGGCAAAGTGAATTTTATCAACCATCAGCCCCACAGTAGAGTGCATTTGTAATTTTAAGAATTATACAGTGTCATTAAAGCTAAAGGTTAACAACTCATGACCACAGCAGATCAAACTGTCAGCTTCAGGTTTTCTGCTACTTTCAAACTTGCTAGGTCTCTTTAAGCTGAGGAACATGAAAATCTCTGTGAATACTGTTTATCTAGCTAACTTTGCTTAATAGATCTATAAATTGAACTAGTTCCCCATGCAAGAAAATGAAACTTTCCCAAATGCTACAAAAATTCTGCAACACGCTATTCTAAGTGTAAAATACAAAGCAAGAGGAATTCCTTTCACTATCTCCAATTACACTACCCAAACAGAGCAAGAGTTAGATTTAAAGAATAACTTTACAATTAACAGTCTATTAACTGATCCATTTTTTAATAAAAGCACCATTAGCAACACAAACCACGGTTCCCTAGAAAGCAGCATTTCATGAAGTCACTGGTAACAGGAACCATGCATTCTATTATTAGACACAGAGCTCTTTGATCCATACAGTATAGAAAGGGGGTAAAAACTGGTTTATGGTGCTCACTGACATCTCCCACACACAGATTCTTTTGAAAGGGAAAATCAGGCTTTTCTGCTTATCACGTTGATCCTGCTTCTTTGCCAATATTCAGATTTCCATCCTCTAACTTTCACTAATTAATCTTGAAAGGCTTTAAACCACATATATCCTCAGGTCAGCTTTCACAACATAATCACTTAAATTAAAGTCTTGAAAACTGCCAGTGGATGTCTCTGCATACACACATTTATGACTCAAGAGAAAAATATCACTAGGTTTTATGCCTCTCTCTCTGTGTTTTATCTTCCTTGCCCATTAAGCCTGATCACAAACAATAAACTCAAGGAACCCAAACATTTTATACAGTGCTTCAGTGAATATAATTGAATCCAACTTGAACTGCTGCCTCCCTGTGTGAAATTCTTCTTGCCCACTCCACAGAAAATGGAGTAAGCTTAATCCTTCCCTTTGGCATGCTGCAAAAACCTGAGTCTGCTGTGTAAGGATTTAGTTATACTAAATACTTTTGTAAAACACTATTTTAGTGTTTTTAAAATCACAAAATGCATAATAAAATTCAAAATGGCATCCGCCTACCTATTCTACTCCAAAGTGCACTTTCCTTCTTTCCATTCTTGCTGATGTATTTGGGGAAAAAGAATCACTAAGCTCCTTTAAAGCAAAAACAGATACTTATTCTGAGATAAAAAAATTGAATGAGTGTGATATGTTTAGTGGAAAGAATCAAAAAACACAAGCTATAGGTACCCTTGCTACAATCAACAGAAAAGATTACCTGAGAGAAGTTATCAAGTGTTGGAAATTTGTTCTCAGTCCAGATCAGAGCTCAGAAGTTGAGCTCTGGTCCTCCTCAGAGTAGTAGTTACACACTCTAGGAAACCATGCATCTGCCATGAGAACAGTCAGGAATTATGAACAAAACAGCTTCTGCTCAGTGAGGGTCAACATATGCCTTTGTAAAAATATGTTGTCATTTACATACAGCTAGGCAATATGACATTTCAATAGCATGTAGACTTCTTAAAATACAGTGCTAACACACCCTGAGTTTACAGAAGATGATCTATTTCTGTATATAAAGAGACAATGCAGCAATAGTAGTTTTAATAGTGATTTGTAAAGAAAATCCTGGTTTAGAGAAAATGAATCTGATAGAAGAAAAACTCCACCATGATTAGTAACTTGTAACAGGTTTACTCCATTTGGAGCTGTTTCTGTATCTGGTATTCCCACTGCTTTCAAGACATGTCAGAAAAGGTAGGAGCCTGTACTGGGGAAAAGCAACAACAACTAGGAGTGATTGAGGGAATAATCAGCCAGCAGGCATGCATAAAGGTGGCTTTAGGATCAAAGAGAATTGCACCAAAGATGCTGAAATTAAACAAGCCCCACTGTGAATTCAGAAGGTGGAGAACTCTGGATCAGAGTGATCCAAAACTGCACTCTGGACTGATTTGAACCAGATGGTCAATATGTACTTTGAAGTTTTAAGGTAACATAAAGAAGATTCTTAATCTTAAAAGCTTACATTTGTTTTGGGAGTCTCATGTTTTGCTTATTTAATCCTACAGGACTGTGACAAACACTAAGTTTTTACTAATGTTTTCTGAGTCATGTTCTGTTTTATAGGGCTCACTGGGATACAAGTCAGATGACCAGTGTTACCCAGCTGCACCACAATGCACACCTACAATTAACCACAAAACACCTGCAGGACATTTTTAGACACATAGCTCACATCCCCTTCCATGGCATATCACTTTGGACAAAACCTGTGTTTTTCTATGGTGATGCCACCATGATTGAACAGTCTCTCCCCTGGTGAACCAACACTATTGTGTTCAAGACTCAAGCATTCCCAGTCTCACAGAAGAAGTGGTTTTGATTGTCATTTCTCACAGATGACAAAAAAAATTTAAATAAAATAAACCCAAAATAACAGAAGCAGATAAAAGACACTTTTTATCATCTCTGAATAACTTCATTTTAGTGGGGCTTAAAATAGAGATAACAATTCATATGCCCTAACCTTACCTCTCTCATCCTCGCCCACTTGACTTTTCTCCCATCTATCCTGCTTGGAGGGTTCCCAAGAATAAGCCCCTCCTCTCTACCTGCAATCTTAATTTCAGCAAGTCATTATCCACAGCTTTATTTCAATCCATTCCCTGTTAATTCCTGCCACACTTCCTAAGCAGACATGAGCTACTGGATAAAGAACTCTTCATCTTAAAACTTGTTTTTCTATCAAAATCACCTAACACTCAAGTATTTAAACCTACAGAGGATCTGCTGACATGCAATGAGTAAGGAAACAAGTGTGAGCAGGTCAAGGCTCAATAGAGTTGTGAAAAAGAAAAGGCAAGGCAGAGGTTACATGCTTGGCTTACAGTTACCCTGATGGTTCAACATCAAGTCAGACTTTTAAACAAAAAACAGGGCTGAAAGTCTACCTGTAATCCACACTTAAAATACAAAGCCAGCATATTACCATCAACAACAGAATTAGGTTTTGAGTTCAAGGACCTCACAACACTCCACAAATGCTAAGTTTTTAAAGAGTTAGTTTGAATATTTGCATTTAAAAATATCATTCTGATAGGTATAAAGTTTAAATGTACCCAATTACACCATCAACAGGACTCTCAGGAAGCTGTTATTTTGCTTAGTCTAATTAGACTCTATTCTACCATGGTATTTAATCAAGTAGAAAGCTCTGTAGACAAAAGAAACACATGTAACTCTAAGAAACTTAAAAGCAAAGTATAATAATAATAATAATAATCTCATTACAGTAAATCACATCAAGGTTACAAAGACCAGACAGAATACTAAATCATCCACTCTGGTTTAAAAGTCTTTCTATTAAAAAAGATAAACCCAGTATATGTGTTTCCAGTCAATATGAAAAACCAATGGTGGCTGGTTGTCAGCATTTCCACTCCAGCTGACTCATGCACATGCAAACAGCTGAACAGAAATCTCAGTGTCAAACCAAGGCAAATTCCAATTTTCAGTTGAAGGAGGATTCCTGAGTATGTTTAAACACATTCATGGTCTGGTGGCAGTACAGGAGCAGCAGAGATGATTTCACATGAACACTTTTGCCAGTTGTGCTTGTCTAGAGGGCTAAAGGCATTTCTGCTAGAAGTTGGCTCTGTAATTCTATGGGATCCCTGCAGGAATCTGATCCAGAGGCTGCAGCCCATCCCATGAGGCCACAAGCCACTGCTCTGTGTTGCTGTTCATCCACACACAAGGAGATCATCCTGTAA